AAATAGGAGTAGAATTAGAGATTAGCAGTCTTTGGGCAACGGTGGGAGGGCCCACCAGGCTGTGGCACCTTCACGAGGGAGGCCCTCTAAGTCTCCAAGGATGCCTGTCACCTTGTGTAATCCCTAGCACGGCCTTAGGAACACTTCTCATGCCCACTTTACACCGGAGACACGGAGGCCCACGACAGAGACTGCCCAGGCCAGGGCCTTTGTCTCAGCTCCCTCCTGCCTCTGGAGGCGAAGCCTGGACAGCACCTGAAGGACCCAGGTGGCAGTGGGAGACGCCAGCCTCCCTTGCTCGGTCAGGCTGCAAGCGGGTTTGCTGGGCAGCAGCCGACGGGTTTGCCTTCTCCTTGTGCTTGTAGCTGTTTTCAGCAAAATTGAGCGAGACCATGGACCCTGCCAAAAAGCAGATGCTGGAACGCATTCAGCGCACAGTGGAGCTCGCCGCAGAGCCGCTGCAGAGAGCCATGGAGGCGGGCCTCACCGCAGAGGGCAACGACAGCTGTGTGGAGGTGAGAGTTGACCATGTCTGCCAGCCCTGCGTGTCCATGCGGCTCGCCGCACACACGTGTGGTCCTGGGTCTTTGCCTGCAACACTGCCAGGTGCCCTCCCATCCTGGCCGCCCTGCCCCCAGGTCCTGGCCCTACTCCGCCTCTGCTCCCAGTAAACAGGAGGCACACGGGGAATGTGGGGGGAGCAGCCATCTCTCCAAGTTGTCCAAGGCCATCCAGTGTCCTCCCCCCGGATTTGTGAGGGGCAGCACCCGGAGAAGGGGGAGCAAGAGGCTGGAGTCGAAACGGGCTATGGGGCCTTTCCCTGGGCCGTGCCCCCTTCCTCTGGCCTCTGGGCCGCTATAGCCCCCGAGGTGGTCCGTGTTGACAGCAGCGCCCCCCCACGGGCCACCGCTGGAGCTGAGCAACCGTGCGCGTGCCCCCCCCACCCCGGGCGTGTTCCCCATTGTGGTCGTCCCACAACCCTTGGACGCTCTGTTCTGTTCTGTGTGTTTCAGTCTTTGATAACAAAGACTTGGCTTTTTGGTTTGGGAGATTTTGTTGAGAAGCCTCAGGCCAACGATTACTTCCTGCTGTCCAGCCACGTGCTTCCTGTCCCCTGCAGCGGCTTCCCCAGCACCTGCTCTCATTGCTGCCGACCTCACCCACCCGCTGGAGCTCTTAGCAGGTCGATCACCGTGTGAAATTCCCGGGCCGATGAGCCCTGCCGCGTGGGGCTGTGGCGCACTCACTCTCTCCAAATCGCGCTGGCCTTTGGTCCACCTCACAGCTTTTTCTCGCCAGCTGGGCCTGCTGTCCCGAGGGAAGGGCACCGCTCTCAGCGGCCTCGGCCACGTGGGCGTGCGCGGGCAGGGAGGGGTCGCCCAGGACTTCTGCCTCTGGGCTTTGCGTGTCAAGAGTGTCTCAGGTGTTCCCCTCCCGTGGGTGGGATGGGAGGCCTAGCGGGGCAGGAGACGGGCATTCCCAGGCTCTGTAGGTGCCGGTGAGCCCTGGCAGGTGAGCCGGGAAGGACGAGGTGCTTTGGCGTGTTTCAGAGTAGCTGCCGTGTGGTTCCCACCCTCAACCCCCAAGCACATGGTGGTGGCGTGGGTGGGGGTTTCTCCTGTACTTACCGAGAGAGACTGGTGGAGCTACTGAAGGTCAGTCACGCAAGAGTGTGGGACTTGCACAGAAATTCCCAGGCCCCTGGAGTTTCCATCTCAGGCGCATCCACCCCCACAATTGATCATCCCCAGACCAGGGTCGGAGGGGCACCGGTCCCCCACATTGGTTCCTGCCCCGTAGGTTGGGGTCCTCTGTATCCATCTCGCTCTCCTCTGGGCAGCAGCTTCCCTGTGGCCTCTCTTCTCTGATAGACCCAGGGAGAGTCATTCGTCTTTGAGTCTGTTCCGCCTCTTACTTACTAGGACGAGGAGGCGACTCCCACACTCCTCATGTGTGAGACTGGAACCAGAAGTCTCTCTTCCGTCAAATGTTGCTCCATCTTTATTGTTTCCTTTTCTCTTGGGGCATATTCTTTTTTCTCTCACATCTTTGTCATTTAGCTCATTTTCCGGCTTGAGCATTTAAGGCCATACATTCTCCTCAAAGTGTCCTTTCTGCTGCCTTCTCGTACATTGACATCATTCACTTCTGAACAATATTTCCATTTCGATTTATTTTTTTAAACCCACAAATCATCTAGAAGTAATGCTTCAGATTGCCAAAGAGATGGCGTCTTCCAGATTAACCTGTTCTCTTTCACTTACAACTGCGTTGCCCTGCGGTCAGCGAACATGGCCCACCCCGCTGGCTCCGTGAAGGGCAGACTCGTGCCTCGCCTGCTGTGTGGTCAGGTTCTGGAGCTGTCCTCTTGTGCTTGAGAAGGTGTTGTATCCTCTAATTGGTGCAAAAGTCTACAAGCTGTCCAGTAAGTCAAGCGTGTTGGCGATGTTGCTAATAACTTGTGTATCTGCCAACTTTATTTTGCTGGCTTACCTATTCATAAAGAGTTTGTAAGAAAAAAAAAACCACAACTTCCCCCTGGTGAGTTAAAATGATGGAGTTGCCCGTTTCTCCCTGCTCTGTTACTTTTTTATTCACATGTTTTGAGGCTATTTGATTGGGATGGTCAAGCTTAGAATGGCAATCACCGTGGTGAGCTGCATCCTTCCGCATGCCGAGGCTCGCTCTATCCCAAGTAACGTCCATGAGTGCCCCCCAGCCCGTGGTGGTCTGCACAAATCCGGGACCCTGCCAGCCCTCCACTCTCTGGCACCCAGCTGCCTTTCCCAGGGAAAGTGAGCTCCTGTACCAGGTCTGCACCCCGTCTCCTCTGCCCTGGCCCTTGTCATCACCACGTGGCTGGAGGCCTTACCTGAAATCCAGTCTTCGGTCTCTGTCTTACCTGGGGGGCTGGGCCCACTCCCCTCACGGCCTTGCCCTGTCATCTTGCTGTCCCCTCACCTGGGTCTCCCCACTCCTGGCTTTTGCTGTGGGCCATGACTGCCTCGCTTTGACAAGTTCCGATGTCTCTGTTTCTGCTCCTCTCCTGCTGACTGCTGATCCTGTGCCATGTGCATTAACTTAGTGACTAATTAGGCCATTGTCCCCTTTCCCAGGCCTTATAAGGAGTGTAGGGCACTGGGCTTGACTTCCTGCTCCCCTGATTTCCTGTAATGCTGCTGTTACCCGGTGTTTTCAGTCTCATTTTAAAGCCCTTCCAGTTCGGTGTCATGACTAGATGTCTGTCCTTAGGGGAGCCATGTCAGTTGGCAGTGCCTTGGGACTTGGCAACGTCTGCATCCTGGGGACTTGCTGGTTCCCCCAAGAGTCTGGTCAGTGCAGCTGTGGCCTAAGAGTCTGTGTTTCCAACAAACTCCTAGGAGCATGTGCCGCAGGTTGTCAGACCACCCTTTGGTCCCCCTGAGCTGGGGGTGTACCAGATTTGAATGTCAGCCAGCTGCACCCAGAGCTGAGGGTCCCCTGGAGGATGAGTGGGGGCCTGCGGGGAGGGCCTGGTGGTCCGCACGGCACCTGCAGCGAGTCTGGCCATCAGGCAGCTTTAGAGCCACTGTGTTAGAGGTACTGGTGGGAAAGCCGGCTGTTGAATCTCCAGAAGGTCTTATTCCCTGTGTTTGTAGACTTGGCTTTGCTGGTCACACGGTGAAGGCTCTCGGGCGTTTTCTCTGAGCACCTCGGGCTGTTCCACAGTTGTGAGGAGACTTCTGCCCTTGGGGCTGCCTTTCTTTTGTAGGTAAATGTTTCTTCTGTCTGGCTTATTATAAAAATATTCTCTAGTTTTCTGCTCTCCCTCTAAGACATCTTAAGGGTCTTATTTGGACATTTTCTGTGCTTCCCGTGTCTGTGGATTGTTGCGTCCTTTCTAGAAACTTCGCAGGTGTGCCATCGGGCATCCCCTCTGCTCCCTCTCCTCCCCACGGAACTCCAGTCACACCTCCTGTCTCGTGTCTCCCAGCCGCACTCGTGTCTTCCTCCTTGGCTCTTGCTGTCGGCGACCCTGTGGGGCTGTCTCCCTGTCCCCTAGCTCCCCCTCCAGCTGTCTCACCTGCCCGTGTGGCGTCCTGCTCCGCCAGTCGACAGTCCACAGAGCGGCAGTCGCTGCCCTTCTCAAGCCTGCAGAGCTCCTTGTCTCAGGCTCCGTCCTCACTGCCTCGAGCACTGAGCGCCCGTCCCTTCTGTGTCCAGGCCCTTGCCAGTGGGTCCCTGGCTTGTCGCGCAGACAAGTGCTCCTTTCCTCGGGTTTTGTGGCCTTGATTAGGATCTCATTGTTCTGCTGTTGTGATCTGTGTCCATCCTGTGGGCTGGAAGTGCAGATGCCTTCGTGGAGAGGCCATCCGCCTCCCTGAGGCCAGGGGTGCCACCTTGGGAGCTTTGTGTCCTCTGCTTGGGCAGTCCGGCAGCAGGCCCGGGGAGCCTCCCCCCCTTTCTGCTTGCCTGCACACTGGGCGCCTGGCTGGTCCCTGCAGATCTGCAGCCACCTGTGGGCCTAGCAGTGTGCTGGCCGGTCTGTCCTCTCTGGGGGCTGTTGGTGGGGTGTCCTGGCAATCCTGCCTGGTCAGCCTCGTGCGTCTGCACACGCCCACCCTGTGTGCTCACGGTTTTCCATGCCCACTCCTCCTGCGCTTCCTCCCTCCACCCTGTTTCTTTGCCTCCCTCCTCACCGGTGGACTGCGGACTGTCTGGCCCCATGTCCCTGTCACTGTTCCAGTTAACATGCTGAAGATACTGGACCCCTCTGAGGCAGGCCTCCAGGGTCTCCTGGCCTGTGAGGCTCAGGCCACGGCCCTGACACCATCACATAATGTCACAGGTGGACTTTCCTTCTGCCTGACGTGATGTGAGTGTCAGATGGCGACAGAACGTGTCTCATAACTGACACTGTGTGTCATGTGTGACATGGGACCAGCGTCTCCCGTCAGTAGCACCTGACCAGGGTGGTGTGCCTTTGAGATCATCCTCTAGGGCTGGGCTCTGCCTGTCTCCTAAGTGCCAGCCGACGTCTGCTGGGAATGTTCTTTATGTGCCCCGTGTCCGGGCTGTGGGTGCCACCCCATGCACACTCTTCAACACCCTGGCCCTCCCAGCACAGTTGTCAGAGCTCCTGAGCACGGGGTGCTGAGCCATCTGTGGGGGCTTTGCTGCCTGGGAGATGGTAGCTCCTCGCGGACCCGGCTGTGCTCAGCATGCCTTTGGATTCAAGGCCTGGACTGATGCGTGGATGCACTAGATGCAACCCTATGAAGCTGGCACACTTATGGATATTCTGTGTCTTTCTCTGCAGGTATTGTTGGAAGAAGCCAAGGATTTGCTTTCTGACTGGCTGGACTCCACACTTGGCAGTGAGGTGACTGACAATTCCATCTTCTCCCAGCTGCCCAAGTTCTGGGAAGGGGAGTTCCACAAGGACATGGAGGCCCTGAACGTGAGTGTCGCGTGGGGTCCTGTGCTTGCTCTCCCAGGCCAAGGGCCCCGGTCACTGAGGGGCCTCGTTTAGCAAGCTGACTCCAGGTTAAAATGGGAGTTGGGGGGCACGAGGGGCTCTACGGCTCGCCCTGGGAGCATGCCCAGAGGAGGCTGGCATTCCAGAGGGAAGAACCAGGACGTGTCTGTCCTTGCAGGTTCTCCCTCCCGACGTCTTAACCCGAGTTAGTGAGTACGTGCCCGAGATCGTGAGCTTCGTCCAGAAGATTGTAGACAACGGTTACGGGTAAGCACAGGGCCCTCCCCAGGGCAGCACGCTCCGGAAAGTGGGGACGGTTTTCCAAAGAGAGCTGCTCCCGCCTCTGAGCGGGCCTGGAGCAGGGGCTGTGGTGCCGCTCAGGGTTAGTGCCCTGGTGCTGTCACGAAGTGCCGGGGGCCGGGGGCTTCAGCAGCAGGAATGTGTCTGTTGCAGCTCTGGTTCCTCTGGGGCCCCTCGCCCTGGCTTGAAGATGGCCGGCCTCTTGCCGACGCTGCACGTTTGTCACTGTGTACACATGTCCCTTATGTCGCCTTCCATGTCCTGACCTCCTCTTATGGGGACAGTCATGCTGCTGGATCAGGGCCACCCTATGACCTCCTTTACCTTAATCACCTCCATAAAGACCCTGTCTCCAAATACATGCACATTCTGAGGTGCTGGGGGTCAGGACCCCAACACAGGACTCTGGGGGCCACAACACATCAGCAGCCCCCACTCAGGCCCACCCTCACTGTAGGCCTCTTGCCTCTGTGCCACTCAGTTCTCAGCTCCAGGTTTGCTTTGCAGGTGAGCCCTCTGGGCTTCCCTCGGTATTGCTTCCCATTTATACAAGTATTTAGCCGTCCAGACAACTCCGCCTTGTTCAAGGCAGGAAGGAAGAGCAAGAGGGGGTGTGGGCTGTTCCCCAAAGCCCCAACAAACTTACTCCTGTGGCTCAGGGCCAAGCTGAGGGTGCATGGGTGTGGCTGGCCCCTCTGCAGAGGTTCCTGGCCTGCCCTGGGGACCATGGTGAGGATGCGTCAGGATGTGCTAGTGAGCAGCTGGCCACGGTCCCCCAGAAGCTCACAGCTAAGACCGTGAGCCCCAGGGCCCAGAGCAGCCTGCCACTGAGCACAGACACTACCAGGTCCCGGTGATGTCGGCCCTGACAGGCAGGCGTGTCGTGTGCCAGGGCAGGCTGGTTTCATGCAGTGTCCCCCTCACCAGCTGCCATTCTACACGCTGCCCCTGCCCTGGGTTCACCACACCAGCACTCTGACTGCAGGAACCACGTTCCACGTCTCCAAAGGCAGCAGTTTCACAAATAACCAACAAATGGAGGCATAAACAGGTGCCTGGCACCCGTCTGCTGTGCCCTGCTCTGGGAGAGATGCTTTTCCACCTTGCAGGGGAGGTGAGGCAGGGGCAGGCTGGAGGCAGGTGTGTGCACTGAGCACAGTGAGGGGCCAGAGTCCTGGCACAGGCCAGAGTGGGAGGCTCTTAGAAGGGATGATGCCTGTTCTCTCCCGTATGGCACACCACTGCTACATAAGATTGTGTGCCAAACTGAGTGACCAGAGCGGCCCAGGTGAGAGAAGACAGGTCATTCTGGGCTGGAGTAGTCTGGAGTGTGTCTGGGAGGCAGAGAGGCCTGGCTGGGCCGCGCAGGTGGGAAGACAGGGAGGTGAGGGTGTGGCACACAGCATCGCACCGTCACCAAGGCCAGGGGCAGGGAGGAGGGCCACGCTGCCTGGGGAGGGACACTTGGTGTGAGGTGTCCTTGTCACATCCCTGCTCAGCCCACACAGTGGCCATGGAGTTGAACGGCCGCGTCACAGCTGCCAGATGGCCGAGCCAGAGCCGACTCGGGGCAGGAGCAGAGGTCGGGGCAGACTGCGGCCCACTGCACCCTGGGCGGGCGGTGGGCTTCGGGCCGCCATCCCAAGGAGCAGCTGTGGACTGCTCTGGGAGAGATGCTTTTCAGGATCTGTCACACCGTCCCTCAGTTTCTTTTTTGCTCTCCAGCTATGCTTCCAACGGGTCCATCTACTTTGACACGGTGAAGTTTGCTTCTAGTGAGGGGCACTCGTACGGGAAGCTGGTGCCTGAGGCTGTTGGGGACCAGAGAGCCCTGCAGGAGGGAGAAGGTGAGTCAAGCCAGGCGCCGTGCCCCTCGCGTGCCGCACCTGTGTCACCCAGGCTCAGGGAGCCGTGCTTTTCCACCCAAAGGCATTTGGAAATTTTTGAGCTTAGGTCCGTGAGATGGGTTATTTCTTAAGAAACAAAAAGAATCAGCAAACATACCACCTTGAGAAGCACAGCAAAGCCTGGGCCTTGGTACATGGTTGGCGTTTGTTGATCTCTTGGCACTGAGGGCACCTGAGGGTCAGTGGGCTGTGGGCGCTGTGTGTGAGTCTGTGTCGGGGAGTCTGCAGCTTGGGGGTGTTAGGAATATGCAGGTTATGACCTGCTGAGCAAACGGCACAAGCCACCCCCATGGGGTCAGCATGGGGAGTGAAACCCCAGGCTGTTTTGATTTAAGGCACCACGTCATGAAGTTGCTCACTTCCCAGCCCTCGAACGGGGTGCGACGAGCTGGGGAAGGCCAGTCTCCCACCCTGGGTCACGAGTGGGTAGGAGGGAGAACGCCGGATCGCAGCACCAGCTGTTACAGGTCGTCCGGGCAGGAGCCACTCATTTTTGTGGGCTCAAACTCAGATGCTAAAGCCAGGCAGGCCCTTGTGGTGGACACCCTCAGTGCGGCCTGGTCCACGTGCCCGGCCTCCGGGTGCGAGTAGGGCTGTCACACCATTAAATGCCCAGGTCACAACTCAGAGCGGCTGTTTTCTGATGGTGGTGGGCGACCATGTCTGACAGTGGCCTCGTGCCCAGCTCGGTCCGGGTGTCTGAAGTGTGGGTGCGAGCCTTTGTCCGGACCGTCTCAGACGTGCTGCCTCCATTCTTGCTCCCTCAGTGGATCCGGGGGCGACCCCCCAAGCCGGCAGCCCTGTGGCACAGGGTTCGCTCTCAGCCAGCTGGTGTTACTGGAGGGCGGTTGGCCATAAAAATGTTTATGCATTTTGATCAAATAATTTCCCTTTAGGGCTCTTTAGAAATATCAGAACCTAAGGTAAAACCATATAGGAATGGGCCTGCCCTCCCTTTAGAGACATCCCCACTTCCACCCCAGGGGTCGCCCTCAGCCCAGGACACCCCATCCGGGAAGCGTTGGCTCTCGCCCCACGTGGGGCTCTCCTGGAAGGGCAGGGCAGCAGTGGGGGGCAGCCTGCTTGCTCCGAGTGGCAGAACAGGGCATCAGGGGTGATGAGAAACGGCGCCGGGAGGAGAGCCGAAGGGGTGGTGTGACGTAGTTCCCTTAACTAAAACTCTGGAGCAGGTTGCAAGGGTCACAGGTGAGGGTATTTGTTTGGGGGGATGGGGTGGGGACGAGGGGGAAGACCCTCTTTTCTCTGTGGCAAAACTTTAAACTTTTCAGAAAGTCTAATATATTCACGAGTAACTGTGTTCACAATAAGGAAAAATTAAGAGCCTAAATGTAATTGCCTGTCGAGTAAGGAGTGAGAGAGACCTCCGTGGCCAGTCACAGTGGCCAGTCGCAGTGGCCAGTTGCAGTGCGGCGGCTCTGGGCGCACACGGCTGGCGTGCAGCTGGTCCTGTCGGTCAGACAGCCACGTTCCGCTTGCACAGATGGAAGCACACACAGACCTGCTGATAAAAATGCCAGAACACGGCCGGTCATCGCCCCACGTCCCTGACTGTGGGATTCTCTCCTGGCTCTTCCTTGTATCTTCTGAGCACCCCTGCATTAGTGCCTGTTTCTTAGCCATGAAGTCGTGTCCAGAAGGCCTTCAGCACTGCCTTCTTCCCTCCTGTGTTCTCAGGGCAGCAGAGGTCTGTAATCTGATTTATCACCTGGATGTGGCCACTCATTGGGACCCTGCTGGACACTCATGTGTCCTTCCTGTCCCAAGCTCCCCTAAGGGAAGGGAGCACAGAGCCCCCGCCCCAGGAAGGGGCCCCACAGCTGCTAGCGTGCTCCCTAGGTCCTGCGTGGGGTCTAGAGTAGTCTGTGCCGACCAAGGTTATTTCCCATCACTCCTCCAGACACAGACAGGCTTCCCCCCAGGCCTCTCTGGGGGGTCTTGCCCAGCACTGACCTCGCCCCTGGAGGAGCGGCGCCCCCTTCTGCTCTTGGCTTTCAGAGACTGCCCCTCAGCCTTCTTCCCCTGAGCTCCTTTGTGAACATGGGGGGAACTGGAGTGCTCCAGGCCCACCTCCAGGCCCTGAAACCCCACACGGCAGCCAGTGTATCTGCAAACCTCCCAGGCCCCCGGCAGAGCGGCGTGCAGGCCGTAGAGCAAGGTCCCCCCTGCCTGGGCCCAGGTGCCCAGGCTGCCCCCACCCGGTGCCCCATGGCTGCCTCACGCCTTAGGCCTAGCCCCACCTCATCCCAGACAAGGTGCGGCAGCAGGAAGACGGGGGTGGGGGGTGGGGGGCGAGGTGATGGCAGGTGTGGCCCAGGCCCATGCGTTGTGCCTTCAGACTCTGCTCGTGAGCGTGTAGACAGGGTTCCGTACTGGACGACGGAAGCACTCCAGTCTGGCTGTGGTGGACCTGACGGCATGTGGGACCACGGTGACAAGCGGAAATGTGTCCAGGGATCGACCAGGAGGCCCCCCAAGACGGCCCCGCGTGAGGCGTGAGGCGTGAGTCCGCCCGTCCAGGAGTGCTGAGTATCCCGTCTCTTGTTCTGCAGGAGACCTGAGCATCTCGGCAGACCGCCTGAGTGAGAAGCGGTCCCCCAGCGACTTCGCCCTGTGGAAAGCCTCCAAGCCGGGGGAGCCATCCTGGCCGTGCCCCTGGGGAAGGGTGAGCCCCGAGAGGGCCGGGGACTGGCTGGAGGTGGGACTCCGTCACGGGGAGAGCCCCTCGCTGGCGTGGCGTACCAGTACCCTCAGCCCCCCGGGACCGGATGCTACAGCCCCGCGGGCCTTCATGCCCTTCACCTCCCTTCCGGGGCCTCTGACTTCCAGTCTGCAGCTGGGGGTGCAGGCAGACTAGACCCTCCATCCTGATGGTCTCTGGCTCCTCGGGACGAGTCCACCTTCTGACCTTCCCTGTGACCGTTGTCCTGACAGCCCAGAGCCTTGGGAAGGGGGCTGGTCAGTCACTGGGTGGTTTGGGTTCCTAGGGGCGCCCAGGGTGGCACATCGAATGCTCTGCCATGGCAAGCACCCTCCTTGGAGCCTCGATGGACATTCACGGAGGAGGCTTCGACCTCCGGTTCCCCCACCATGATAATGAGCTGGCGCAGTCAGAGGTAGGCTGGGGCTGGGGTGGCTGTCTCAGGTGGGCGGGCCTGGCATTCCCTCTGGAGGTGCAGGAGGTCAGGATGTTGGCGAGGTGCTGTCTGAGTAGACCCTGACTAACCGTCAGGGTTCTGTTGGCAGAATGTGAACCCTAGTGATTTACCCTGGGAGCTCTAATTATTTCCCACATTAACAGCCTGGCCTTTGGCAACAGACCTGTGTTTGGACCAGTTGTTAGCGCCTGGCTCGATGACCCAAGGTAGTTCCTCTGGGCCATAGCTACCCCGCCAGCAAAGGAGCGCCCCCGCTCCGACAGTGCCCACCCAGCAGCCAGGGGCCCCCCACCCAGGATGGCAGAGGCACCTCGTCACCAATTGTGGCTGGCCGCCCCCATCTCCCCACAGGCCTACTTTGAAAATGACTGCTGGGTCAGGTACTTCCTGCACACGGGCCACCTGACGATCGCAGGCTGCAAAATGTCCAAATCACTCAAAAACTTCATCACCATTAAAGATGCCTTGAAGAAGCATTCAGGTAGGCACGGGCCTCGTGCAGAGACCCAGGCATTTCTTCTGTGGGGTGCGGGGCCTGTAGCTGCAGGGGCGCTGGAGCCGCTGTACTGTTCCCCCCGCTAGCGCGGCAGCTGAGGCTGGCCTTCCTCATGCACTCCTGGAAGGACACGCTGGACTATTCGAGCAACACCATGGAGTCTGCGCTTCAGTATGAGAAGCTCATGAACGTGAGTCCCACATCCTCTCCAGAGACTGGCAGAGGGGCCACTGCCCGCCCCGTGGGCCCCTCTGGTTCCCTGTGATGGGAGGCATTAACTGCTTCCCGTTTCCTGGTAGAGAACAGGATGCAGGCGAGCAACTAAATTCTGGGGGGGAAACCAACTCAGGGCCACTTCCTGAAGCAGTGGGTAACTCTCTGGAGGCCAGGGTGGCATTGTCTGCGCAGGGCCTGTGGTGCCGAGACACACGCTATCTGCTGAAGCAGCATCTCCAGGGCCACACGCTTCTGGGTGGGAGAAAAGGCCTCCACCTCCCTTCTTCCCACTCTGCAGTGTCGTGCACTGTGGTTTCAGGCTTAGCCTGGAGGAAAGGTGTTCAGCAAAACAGCTCTGTACCAGCCCTGCCCTGGACGAAGAGTGTCTAAGTGCTTGTGAACTGAACTTTCTCCTTTAGGAGTTTTTCTTAAATGTGAAAGACATCCTTCGAGCTCCTGTTGATGTGACCGGTCAGTTTGAGAAGTGGGAAGATGAAGAGGCGGTGCTGAATAAGTGGTGAGTCAGGGCCTCTGCCCGGGCTTTGCAAGCGCACCTGTGTACTGTTGCACCCACCAGTGGGCAGGGGGCTGGGCATCTCCCGTCTGTCTGTGCAAAACCGCCCTCAGAATGTGCTGCACCTGCTGGTGGAAAACGCTCTGGCTCTCGGGCTGTGCGGCCAGTCTCTCAGTGACATCCTGTTCTCCCCTTGGCCAGCTTCTACAACAAGAAGATGGCAGTGCATGAAGCCCTGTGTGACAACATTGACACGCGCACTGTCTTGGAAGAAATGCGGGCCCTGGTGGGCCAGTGCAACCTCTACATGGCGGCCCGGAAGGCCGCGAGAAGGCGGCCTAACCGTGCTGTGCTGCAGAGCATCGCGCAGTACCTCACCCACATGCTGAAGGTAGGCCTGGGCGTGGTGCTGGGTGCCCACGGTGACTGCCGGCTCGGGGCACAGCAGCACGCCCAGCAGCACAGCTCTGGAGGCCGAGAAGCGCTCTGTCCTCGGCATCTGCTGCGCTCCTCTGCTGGAGACCAGACGCACACAGCTCGCCTCGCTCGGCTTTCACCTCTTGTCTCAGCCTTTTCCTCCCATCTTGAGGTTTGAAAAGCAAAACAAGTGGCCGTAACCTGGAACCCCCGCCCTGTGGGTCATTCACTGTGAGCCTCTGTGTTGGCGGGTTCCAGGTCTTTGCGTGTGGGCAGCACCTGAGGCTCAGCTGCCCGCCCCGCGCCCTGCTCCCGGCTGCCCAGCGGCCTCGGGCCTCGGGCTGGAGGGGGCAGCAGGAGCCAGGCCGCGTCCTGGGGCCGACGGGGCTCTTGGAGCTGCTCTCTCCACCTCTCCCACTGTGCTGCGTGCAGCAGTGGGTCTGTGTCGCCCTTCAGGCCCTCTTCAGCCTGCACCTTTGTTTCTGTCCCTAGGTCTTCGGGGCCATAGAAGAGGAAAGCTCCCTGGGCTTCCCAGTGAGGGGACCTGGAACCAGCCCGAACGTGAGTAGATCACACTGGGCCCAAGAGACTCTCCCTGCTGGGTCCATTGGGGTTGCCCAACCCCTGGGACCTGGTGCCCTGTGCGAGGGGCACCCTCCTGCCTTCCACCCCTGCTTCCTTCTCCTTCCAAATCCTCCTGGGTCAACCCTGTGGACATAGGAGACCACCGTTAGGTCCCACCCACAGCACCCTTCAGATGGAGCCTCGGCTCATGCCCGGGCCAGCTGGGAGAATTGACCGTGGTCAGCTGCCCCTTAGCCAAGGCCAGGCTAGCTAGGATGAGCCTGAACCCTCTGGCACCAGGCCACTGGCGTGGCTCCGTGGCTCTTGCCTGCTCACCCCAGGCGCTCGTACCACATGGAACCATCTGTGACAGGCCTGTGCATGTGAGAAAATTCGTCAGTGAGTGTTGGCCCCTTCCCCCCAGTTGGCCTGTGGGCGCTCTGCTGTGGGGCGACCGTCATGGGGAATGTGCACGCCCAGGTTCACCTCGGATGTGTCTCCCCCTCTGCTGGTCTGGAGTTCTCTGTAATGGTTTGATTAGCATGCCTGTTAAGTAGTTATTTAAATTAAAACAGGCAAGTGCAAAGTAAAAGGGCCAAACGTTCCTGAAGTCCTGCTTGCCAGGATGGACAGGGTGAAGAGTCGCCTCCTGCGGGTGAGTCTGTAGGTGTTTCCCCTAAGAGCCGACTTTCCGAGAGAAAACAGTTGGTGTGAGAAGGCCTGCCAGAGCCCCACACCTGAGTCCCCAGGGCCTCTGCTACCCGGGAGCCGGGTGGTACTGTGGTACTTTCTAGACTTTGCCATGCGTGAACCCCTTTGGAGCTTTTTAGAAAGGAAACCCACACAGCCTCTTTGTTCGCTTGTGCAGGTGGTACTGGATATTTATTTTCTTAGAGAAAAAAACACTCAAGTTAGATGCAGTGTTTTTTGAACTTAAAAAACACTCTTAATGTTAATGCCACGGTGGTTGGTGGGGGCCTTGAAGCGGCTGTAGTTGCAGCCTTGGGGGGCCTCTAAAGGCAGCTCGCTGGAGTTGGCAGCCATGGGAGAGGTGGTAGGTGAGCACGGGCAGGGCCTGCATTGGCACTGTTTGACATTCGTGGATTAACCTCCAAACCAGATTATTCTAGGAACAGAGAGGCAGCCCCGGAGCCTTGCAGCACCTCAGCATTGAGTTAACCACACAGCACACACTGAGGTGGTCAGTGGGACCACTGGGGGTGCCGATCTGGTCCCTCCCCTGCCAGGATGTGTCGGCTCAGCCCAGTGCAGCACTGGCCCAAGGAGGGTCAGGCCACCGGAGGGCTTGTTGGCCTGGGCAGCTTTTACATCTGCTTGATATTTGTCTGTTGAGCTGCCAAGTAATGTGATCACGATGCAGGGCAGACCCTGCTGAGAGCCCCTGGAAAACACTGCTGTAACAGAAAAGATTCTTCACGCAATCATTATTCCTCTAGTCTGGAGCCCGCCCTCTGCTCCCCTTTCCAGCAGGCTCACTGCAGGTCATTAACTGTAGAGTGGTCGTGAGTGTGCGTGGGATGGTAGACAGTCCACAGAAATAGTTAATCTTAAATGTGTGTGTGTGGCCACGGGTCAGACCACGTATGGCCTGGCTCCGCGGTGCCGGCCTCGGTGTTGATAAGGCCCCAGCCCGGAGGAAGGGCGCCAGGCCCCTCAGAGAAAGTCCGTTCTGGGAACGCCCACGCGGAATCACAATGATGAGTTTTTGAACAACTGTCTGACCTAAGACGGGGCGCCTCATGTGAGTTCAGGTGAATGACCCTCACCTGCAAAAGGGGGGGAGCGTCCCCGCTCTGTCTGCCCTGCCTTGCCTGGGCCGGGCGCCCAGGGTTGCTGTTGCTCACCGCCCCCCCCCGCCACCCCGGGGACTGGGGGTTAGGGAGGAGCAGGTCCGGGCTCTGGGACGCTGGTCACAGGAGGGCGCCCACCAGCAGCACGGCAGGCCAGCCCTGCAGCGCGTATGCTGAACTCTGTAGCTCTGAATGCAGTCAGGGGCTTGTCTCTCAGTGAATGAAACCCTTCCCTCCGCAGCTCGAGGCCACGGTCATGCCATACCTCCAGGTGCTGTCGGAATTCAGAGAAGGTGTGAGGAGGATTGCCCGAGAGCAGCAAGGTGAGACCGCCGTTCAGGGGGCAGCTGCCCCACTCCTGGCTCCTTCGGCCCGGCTGCTCCTGCCCGTGGGGACTGTCCTGGGCATGTAGCATCCCTGGCCTCTGGCGCTAGACCGCTCCTCCCCCAGACCCCTCTCCCCACGTTGTGGCAGCCATAAATGTCCTGCAGTGCAGGACAGCTGGGTGGGGCTCCAAGGGCCCGTGGGTGAGGTGGGTCCCCTGCCTGTTGCTATTTGAGTGGAATGGCAGCCCGCCTGCCCTCTGAGCCACCAGCCTGGCCTGTCTGCACTTTGGGAGCATTTCTGCTCTCTGTGAGCCCACAGGTGAAGGGCTAGGAGACGGCCTTGTTCTTACTTCTGGGGGCGAGCTGTGCTGAGTGGGGAGCCCAAGCGCCCAGACAGTTGTTCTGCTAGGGGTTTGAGCTTGGGGGGGATCACCCCATAATGCCTCCCTCTCTGTACCCACCTAGCCCTTCCCCTGCCAACACTCACACTCTCCCCTGTGCTCAAGGACAGAATGTGCTGGCTTCATCTTCTAGGCAGTGTTGAAGTTGTCAGCATCAGGCAGGCGGTCCGCGTCGTGCTTTGTAAGGGCTGAGCTGGTGGTCAACGTGGGTTGAACTTGGAACATGCCAGGCCCTGGTCCAGCTGTTTTTCTCATGACCCCTCACTGAACCCTCACAATGTCACAGAGGTGGAATGCAGAGTTTTGATTTTTGATTAGTTAGAGGCCCTGCCAGGGGTCACAACCCCCACCAGCAGTCTGACCCAAATGCCGCCCGTCACCCACTGTGCCGTGCACCCTCCCCAGACCTCTCTGTGATGAGAAGTACCTGGCGTTTGTCCAGTTGCTGTCCCTATGGAGTGGACCTTGGGCCAGCCAGGGGATGGGCCGGCAGAGAGCCCAATGGGGCCGTCAGGGAGTGCTGGGGTCGCTGCAGCAGGCTGGCCAGTTGCAGGCTGGGAGTGGGTCTGGGCCTGTTCCAGTGATGGCAGAGAGGAGGACAGGGATATGGGGCCAGGAGGAGGAGTCCCCGAGCACAGGTGAGCACCGCGGCTGTGGGTGGCTGGGCGGTCTCACCGTGGGCCTCGTGGACAGGAGCCTGTATCTCATGGTGGGGCTGGGGGGGGCGTGGGGCTGTAGGGCCTCGCTACATAAGCATGGCCCTATCTCTTGGGCACCTGACCTGCTCACCGTTCAACTGAAGAAAGCCTCTGCTGAGGTGTGGCTGCTTGACATCGGTGGGGTTTTGGGCTTAGAGATGCCCATTCTCGGGGTCAGCCTGGGCATCTCTGCCTGCTGGCCATGCAGCACCCTTCGTGGCAGGTGCTGGATAGATGGAGGCATGGGAGGCCATGCACGGTGGTGCTGACCAGGCAGCACGTGACAGCAGTGCCGGCGGCTGGCATCGGCTCGGAGCAGGTTGGCTTGCTCTTCTCGTGGCTGTGGTTTCTTTCTGCCGCCTTGTTTGTTGCTCAGGCACATGGACCAAGAGCCATGGGGGCCCACGTTGGGGCCACGGTAATTACTGTCCTACCTGCTTTGCCACGTGCCACATTCTCCTGTCCTAAAGCTTGGACCGTGAGCTGAGACCAGGGGCCCTGCAGACGGGGGCCCCCCCAGGGCCGAAGGTGGCTTCTCACACTTGTTTCTACTCCGTCCCCTGCCATCCCTGCCCATGGCTTCACGTTAATTACTCACTGTCACTGCTGCCTGGCTGTCACATGGCCACAGGTGGACTGTGGAGCCAGGAGGACCTGGTGAGGGGCTCGGGATGGGCCCTGGGTGCACTCTCCAGCTGTGCTGGCCGGGTACCCGCTCTCTGCCCCGCCTGGGCCAGGTGCTGCGCTGGCAGGCAAGCGGGAAGCAGGTCCCTGAATGCCTGCAGTCCTGGCTGGAGAGCCCAGGCCTGGCCAGGAGGGGCGTGGGCTGTGAGCCAGCAGAGGGAGGCTTGGGAGAGGCCAGAGGGCAGGATGTGCCTGTGGTCAGAGTGGGGAGGCTGGAGCCCCTCTGCTGCCAGGGAGATGGTGGCCGTTTCCCCTCATCTTTAGCTTTTTCTTTTGTGGTAAAATGTACATAATACATAATTTACCATCTTAACCATTTAAGGGCACACTCGATGGCATTAGGTGCATTCACGCGGTCTGTAGCCACCCCTACCGCCTCCAGAGCTCCCCGTCTCCCCAGACTGGAGCCCTGTCACCGGAAGCTCTCACCCCCACCCCTCCCAGCCCGGGCGCCCCACCCGCTCCTGTGTCCACGGATCTGATGGCTCCAGGTCCTCCTCTGAGTGGAACTGTGCAGCATCTGTCCCTCTGTGTCTGGCTCATGTCACCTCATGCCGTGCCCTTAGGTCCCTCCCTTTGGAGCTGGGTGGTGCCCCAGTGGATGGAGCCTGTTTCCTGCATCCCCTCGCCTGTGGGTGGACCCCACCTCCTGCACTGTCCCTGAGCCGCTCTCTGGTGAACTGCAGGTGCTGTCCCCCTGCCCACTGCCCCACCCCACACCCACTCCTGCCCTGGTCTCCAGTACTCCCTCCGCATGCCCGATCGCTCGTGGGCCGGAGCTCGGGGCCTCTGAGCCTCGTGCCAGGCAGGAAGGCAGATTTACAAGCAACAGGGAAATGCCAAGGCCCCAGCTGTGCTTGTGTCCATGTGACAGGCAGGAAAGCCACACCACTGTGGAGTGGGCCGGCCGTGGGCCTCAGCCTCTGTCCCCAACTTGAGCGGGCTCCCCACCTCACTCCTTCAAAGGTGTGACAGTTCTTCTGAGACAGTGTTCTTCCCTATAGTTAAATTTGATTAATTGAATTCTTCAAAAATAGCTAACTGGATTTTTCCTTCTTATAAAGAAATGATTTGTTGAGGTGATGTTCAGATAACACAAAACTAGCCATTTTAAAGCGAACGACTAAGTGCATTCACACTACTATGCTACCACCACCTCTTTCTAGTTGCAAGACTTTTCTACCAGCTGCTGTAATACCCTGTCCCCATCAGCGGTCTTCTCATCCCCCCTGCCCCTGGCAGCCACCTCTCTGCTCCGTGTTCCCGTGGATAGACTCGTCTTGGATGTTCTGTGTACGTGACAGCTCGTGGTTTCTGTGTCTGCTGGCTTTGACCAGCGGAATGTTCTCCAGGGTCATCCACATTGCAGCGTGTGTCAGGGCCTCACTCCTTTTTAGGGCAGAATAGTATTCCGTGTGTGGCTAGACCACGTTCTGTTTATGCATCCAGCCATTGATGGGCAGTTGGGGTGTCTCCACCCTCTAGCTACTGTGCTGCTGTGAATAAGCATCTGGATGAGTCACTGTGTTGGGTTCATTTGGGTAATTATGGAGTCATGTGCTAATCGTACGTTTAACCTTTTGAAGGCCCGCCAAACTGTTTTCCACAGCGGCTGTGCCTTTGTACATTCCTGCCGGCCACGCACGCGGCTCCAGTTGCTCCCTGCCCTCGCTGACGCTTCCTTCTTGCTGGTTTCCTTCAGTCATTGCTGTCGTCGTCGTGACGTCTGGGTGGGCGTGAGCTGGTATCTCACTGTGGCTTTGATTTGCATTTCCCTGCTGGCCAGTGGCACTGACCACCTTGCCAGGGGGGCATCTTCTCTGACAAGATGTCTCTTCAGGCCTTTTGCCCACCTGGAGTTGGGTAGCTTGTCTTGTTGCCGAATGCAGGGGTTCCTTATTTGTTCAGGACATGAACTCTGGTCAGACATACAGCTGGGAGGAGGGCGGAGAAGAAAGCCACCACAGGGTGACCAAAAGTGCGAGAGGAAGGCCCTGGGGAGAGCTGAGCTGTCTCTCAGGGGCTGTGCTGGCCGCTCTGCTCAGCCTGGGGGGCCCCAGCCCAGAGGAACGCAGGGGCCTGCGGAGATGCGCCTGCAGGTGCCCTCGGGCACTGGTGATGGCCTTGACCTGCCCACTTTCTGTCCCGGGAACGTGCTGTCAGCCTGGCACTTGGCTCAGGTCCTTGCCCTTGGCAGGCCTCCTAAGGGCCCTGGGAAGGTGTCTCAGCAAGTGACGCCCTGGAGGGAGGGTCCAAATGTCAAGGGCGTGGCTCTGTTAGCCCTGGGGGAGGCTGGACTGCCCCAGCCTGGGGAGGCTGGACTGCCCCAGCGTGGGGAAGCACGGCCTGCCCAGGGCTAGCTGCCCCAGTGGGTAGGGGGCTGGGACATCCACAAGATGTGCGAATCACCATTCATTCATTCAACAGAGAGTGGACTTGTGGGGTGCGGGCAAGGAGGGAGCAGTCTGGGCCCTCGGGGCACAGTGGAGGTAGGACGGATGAGTGAATGGCCGCATGGGCTGTGGTTGGTGCTGTGGAAAGGGACAGAGCAGGGGGTGGGCGTGGAGGCCAGTGCGCAGGGAGGTGAGGGGTGAGGGGAGTGGGTGTTCAGTGTCTGGGGACAAGTGCTCCCCACGGGTGCAGCCAGTGTGCACAGAACCTCCTGGGCTCGGGCTGTGCGGCATAGGCAGGCACCCGGGCGGAGCCAGACTGCAATGCCCATGAGAGGAGGTGAGCCTGCAGTGAGCGAGGCAGAGCTCCGGACTTGGGGGGCTTGGGGGGCAGCAGGTGCCCCCTCCCATCTAGCCACAAAAGTCTTTGTTGCACAGTTGGATACTGTTGAACCTTTCTTTCTGAGACAGTTGGCATCGTATGTGCCCAGTGACACCCGGGTCCCGCTCTGGTTTCCCCACATGGACACGGCACAGGCTGGGGCCAGTGGGCAGCTTGGTCAAGTCAGATGACCATGCCGAGCAGCCTTCTGGGAGCCGGGAAGGAAGGGACAGTTGAGACCTGGCTTCAAAAGAGAAGAGCCTGGGACAGTGCCTTGTCCCCGTGTCACCAGAACCCACGACTGGCATTTCACGAGCCTGCTTCCACTCGCGGCATCTTACTGCCCATTCCAGCTGCCCTTGGGGCTGGCAGCCCAGCCCCATGTCACTGCCGTGACCGCTGGCCTCCGAGATACTGGTGGCCATCCCTGCCCGCCGCCCTGCTGTCCTGGTCCTTACCCAAAGCTGAATTTCCCTGACCACATGGCGAAAGGCCCACAGAGCTCGAGCTTCTGGACAAGCAGTCACTGGAGTCTGGAAGAGCGTGTGTAGCGGGGCTGAGCCCCTATGTGCTCTTCACTCACAAATGCCAGTGGGATCGCCTCTCCCGGCGCATCCCCAGGCTGTGAGCCTCCCGGGAGTGGCGCCCGCGTGGCCGCCCAGCGTCCTGGGCCTGCCCTGCATCGCTGTCACAGGGGCGCTGCAGCTCCCGGTGAGCTCCCGGGCCTCACCTGCCCTGACCAGGTGCACCGGAGTTCCCCAGGTTCACAGGACCAGGACAGGCGCGAGTCAGCGGCCATTCCCCCTGCCCCTGGCACCAACAGGCAAAGTGCCAGACCCAGAGTCAGGACAGGCCAGAGGCCGCACCGACCTTCCTCCCACCTGCTCTGCTTTGTCCTCATATTTCTTGGGAGAATGATGTCAAAGCCGGCAGGCCAGCCAGGCACCATGCTTCCCCCAGGCTCCCCGGGCCTTCTGCTCCTCCTGGCCCAGCTCTGGGTGGGCACCCCCCTCGGGGCTGGGGTGAGGCCTGGCTGGGAGCTCTGTGCCCACCGTGGTGCCCAAGCCCACAGCAGAATGTCGCTGAAGTGGGGGACCGGCCTTGCTCCCCAGGCCTCCGGCCCTGCCACGCTGGTGTCTGTCAGTACATTGGCAGCCGTGCAGGACAAACCCACCTCTGGTGCCGGAGAGCCACACTGTTCACTCCAGCAAGGTTCTGCCTTTTGCCTGTGGGCACTCAGGGCCATAGGGGTCCTGGGCCTGGCTGCTTAGTCCTGAGGACCGATGGAGGAGGCCACTGTGGCTGGCCTGTGAGGAGCCAGGCCAGGACTTCTGGGTGACCGTGGGGCAGAGGCCCAGGGCACGTGTAGCCTTGGGTCCCTTGGTCCTGGACTGCCTGACATAGCTGCCCCTTCCAGGTTTGCTATGCCAGGGCCCATCCTGGGCTCAGCGTTCCCGGGCACCTCCGTGAGTGCCCAGGGTGCTCGGGTGGTCTCTGAGCCCCGTTTCTGTGCAGGAGACAGCTAGCTTCCCTGGGCCTGCCACTCACCTGGCTTTGGGCAGCCCTGACTTGCCCTGCTCCGCATTCCCGGGCCAGCCTGTGTGCGTCTTCGGACACCACCTGCCTCCAAGCAGAGTCCAGAGGCAGTGTGTGGACGGAGGCCTTCCTTGGGGAGGCGGGGGCGTCTGCGTCTGGGCGTCAGCTGCCCTCCAGAGGGCCTGCGAGGGCGAATATTCCGTGGGTCCCAGGGCGTCTCTTGCGCTGAACCCCTTTCTTTGTCCACAGTCCCTGAGGTCCTTGAGCTCAGTGACGCTCTGCGGGACAACATCCTGCCCGAGCTTGGGGTGCGGCTTGAAGATCATGAAGGTGGGTGCTCGGCCGTGATGGGCAAGGATGGGGAAGGTCTCTTGAGGTGGGGGCTGTTTTTGGAAAGGCCGCACAATGAGTCCCCAGCTGTGTCCGAGGCCATCCCAGCACGGTGTCCCGTGGCTCTGGGGGCGACCTGTAGTTTTGCCTTCTCGGGCGTCATCCCTGACACCTCCTCTGTGTGAACGGTGTGTGGGTGTCCGCCCCTGCGGTCTGATTGCCCAGTGCCTGCATTTCTGCTGGGCCACTGGCCACCTGTTCTTACCACCACCCCTGGGGAGACAGTCTGTGTCATAGGGTGGACAGTGCATTTCCCAGCTTGTCTTCCAGCTTTGCAGGGGTTCTGGCTGCACGTAAAATTGTGACTTTAAACACTCAGCTAACGTACCCTATTTTATAACTTCTGGGTTTTCTGGTATGAGTGACAAGGCCTTCCCGCGTCAGTTCACGTTCGGCTGGTATGAGCTGGAAGGCCAGGCCTGCCTTGCCTTGTGCTGGGTCCTGGGTCCAGACCTCAGCCTCATCTCACATGCTGTTGGCTTTTCAGGATTACCGACTGTGGTCAAGCTGGGGGACAGAGAAACCCTACTGAGAGAGCGAGAGGAAAAGAAAAGGGTGAGTCCGATGCGCAGCCCGCGTCTCTGCCCAGACGCCGCTGGAGCACACGTCCTTCACCCTCGGAAGTCATGTTCCCGTCTCTGTTAACATTCTGTGCTCACGTGTGTCTGAAGGAAAAGTTGACCAGATTGGTCATTGGTTTGAAATTTGGCAACAAAGGAGAAACGTATCTTCTAACGAAGAGCCTCTTCTTAAAAGGTTATCCTGAGTTTAAGGGGCAATCCTCCAAATACGCTGCGAAGCGGATGTGTTTGGTCACACTTGATTTTCCCTGCAGTGGTGCCCCATCTATCCCTGCACCCCCATCTGCCCCGGCACCCACCCTTTCACTCAGTGAGGACTGAGCCAGAGGCTCAGGGCCCACAGGGCGTCGGGACAGCCCTGCCCTCGGGGTCTCCATATCCCCGGAAAGAGAAAGAGGGACCACACGGTGCCTGTGAGATCTGCTGGGCAGGCAGCAGAAAGGAGGCCCCCGAGCCCCCTGCGTGTGTAGGAAGCGTGGGTCAGGCACCGTGGGAGGGCCCACAGGGGTCTGCGCCTCCTGGGCGAGGGACCCCAAAGGGCCTTAAAGAGGAGAGCAGTGTATGGGAGAGCAGGGCAGGCCCTTGATGGCCACTCAGGAAGCGGAGCTGACGGCCGGTCCCGGAAAGGAGAGGGGACACTGCCCAGCCTGCTGAGGCGTGCTCCACCAGGAAGGCCTGGGCCCAGGAGAGCGGGCAGGAGCCTCGGGGGCACAGCTGCCGTGCAGGAGACTGAGATGTGCGAGCTCGGAAGGCCAGGGAAGGCTCTGGAGAGGCTGGGGAGCTGCCTGCAGAGCTGTAGCTGGGGGCTCCAGGGCTGGGCCCACTTTCTGTGCCAGTTTGACCTCCCATCTAGGCTTTTACCAGCGCCCCTGTTACCATCCCATCTGGTCTCCCCAGTTTGGTGTCACATTGAAGGCTGCGTCCCCCTCCCCCAGAGTGTCCCACTGGGGGACAGACACAGCCCGTCTCGGGAGAGAAGCAGCTGCTCCCGCCCCCTCTTCCTGCCCACCCGCAGCCGCCTCTGCTCAAGTCACTGCTCTTTCAGCTTCTCTGAAAGAGAAGCTGTTTCTGTTTCACAGAGAACAGGAGCAAGAAGTACCGTGCCACTTGTGGGGTTGGGGTCCGGGCCGGGGTGGGGGCTTCTGCTGGGGCACATCCCAGGTGGCCCCCTCCCCCCCATGAGCCCGTGACCCCTGCTCTCTGGGACCCCTGCTCTGCTCCCCCCCACACATGCGCCCTCCCTGCCCCAGCCCTTGCCACCCCAGGTGACCTCACCCGGCCCCGTGGCTCCTCTGCTGTCTGTCTGCCCTCCACTTAGCCAGGAGGCAGGTGATACCCTGGGTGTCCTAGAGGGAACTCATGACTTTAACTCCCCAAACCCGTTCCTCCTTCCTGTTGGTGGTGGCATGTCTGGGCACCCAACCCTGCTGGCCCCACCCCAGCACCCAGGCGAAGGCCCTGTCCCCTCCCCTCCTCCGGGCTGTCTGCCATCAGCCCTGCTTCCTGCCAGGAGGGAGGCAGGTTCCTGGCCTCCACCGTGTCTCCTGCAGCACCTTCACCTGTGGAATTAACCCCTGGGGTGCCCGTGCTGGGCACCTGCTGACCTCTGCCCACCTCTCCCATCCCCCCAGGCCCTCGTGGTGCTGTCCCTGCTCCCCCACCCAGCAGCCCCCAACATTGGCCGGGCTCGCCATCCTGGCCCTTCCCTCACAGCAGCTGTGCCCGGGTGTTCTGGTGTCCCTTTGCACTGCGGGGACTGGGCACCCGGTGGCTGCCAAGAGCCTCGGAGGGAGCCGCTGAGAGCCCTCACGGGCCCTCTGAGGACCCACCCCGTGGGCCACCCGCCCCTCCCCTCTCTCCATGGGTTGGCTGGGTCCGTCTCCTCATGGGACCAGGAATGGGGGCAGCAGGGGACTTCGTTTGTCCCTCCTGAGAGGGGCCTTGGGCAGACCTGGCTCACGGCTGCTGTCCCCTCAGATTGAAGAAGAGAAGAAGAGGAAGAAAGAGGAGGCTGCCAGGAGAAAACAGGAGCAAGAAGTACCGTGCCACTTGCGGGGTTGGGGTCCGGGCCGGGGTGGGGGCTGGGCGGGGCCGCGTACCCTGGGTCCCCCTGCTCTTGCTGCCTCCGTCCGCCGGCGGCACCTGGCAAGGAGAGGCCTGGCTGAGGGTGCCACCCTCCGGCCGGGCATGGGCTCCCAGGCGGCGCGGGCCTCGGCAGCCCTTGTCCCCGCTCTGCGCTGCTCTTCCCTGCGCCTGCTGCTGCCCCCTGAGTGTGGGGCTGGGAGGGTGACCGTGTGTCTGTGTTCCAGGCAGCCAAGCTGGCCAAGATGAGGATTCCACCCCGTGAGATGTTCTTGTCAGAAAGTGACAAATATTCCAGGTTTGATGAAAATGTAAGACTGTTTTCTTCTCTTGGACCTGTTTGAGCGCTATGCTGGGATGACAGGGGTTTTCAACTTGGGGCAAGTTTTCTGTCTGAGGCACTTTGAAGGGAAGCGGCATCAGGCACCTGTCTCAGGCCAGGGCACGTGGCCCACTGCCCTGGGGCTGCCTCTGGCACTGGGAGTTGTCGCCTGGGCTGAACTGGGATGGACTGGAAACGGAGTTTGTAGGCTCGCCCTCACGAGCCGGCTAGAAGTGCCCTGCCATGGGCATGTCCGCTGCCCAGGGGCCCTTCACTGCAGCCAGTCGTAGCCACTTTGCCACTAGGCCCCTAGGCCTGTGCTGGTTCTCATACGTATTCACTACATTCTTTTGGGCTGGTGGGATCGGAACTGAGTCATGCCAACCTCATGGAAACAGTGCCCTCCCCACCCAGGCTTGCAGGGTGCCCAGATTCGTTGCTTCTGGGCAGCTGGGCCAGGCGTTGCTGAATGGGGTGGGGGTGTGCCTAGGCAAGTGGATGTGCCCCGGTCAGTGAGCGGAGCACTGGGAGCCCAAAGACTCCAAAAGGGGGTCTGGCCCCCGGTGACCGTTTGTGCCCTTGCTGTTCCAGGGTCTGCCCACACATGACACAGAAGGCAAAGAGCTGAGCAAAGGACAAGCCAAGAAGCTGAAGAAGCTCTTTGATGCGCAGGAGAAGCTCTACAAGGAGTACATGCAGATGGTTCAGAATGGAGCCTGCAAATGAAAAGGCAGGGGCTGAGTTTTTATACCACGCGGCCGGTGGACTGATGGCTTCTCCCCTGCGTCGCAGTGACGATGTCCATGTGCCTCGATCATGTTTACAGTGGCCCCTGGGGCTAAATTAAGAATCCTGTTCGTAGAGGCCCATGCCATTGTCGGCTGGGAGGCGTCAGTAATAAATCCTTCCAAACAGCAAGGCCGGGCGCTCTCTCTGCCATTGCCCTGCACGGCTGGGCTGCTGGCTCAGCAGGCTACCACTGAGGTGCTTGGTCAGCTGAGCTGCTTTAGCTGGCGGAGGAATTCCCCCCTCCCTCCCATGCAGATTGCTATCAGCTAATCTCTGGTGTATGGGTGCATTTGGAGGTATTTGGGTAGGAAAAAGACAGGCTCAAACTGGCAGGACCCACTGACGCCCCACACAAAGGCTGCTCAGTCGGCCCCTGGTTCTAGCGAATAAACATTGCAGTGTCTTCTGCAGTGGTTCAGCACGTGGGCAACCACAAAGGGCTAGCTCAGCAGGGTAGGCCTCCCAGGTCCCAGGATGCCAGTTCACCGCAACAGGGCCAGGATCCGCATACGTGAGATGAGAGGGGAGCTCTCAGTACAGCAGGGCAGCTGTTTGCCACCAGGTCGAAGCCTGCAGAGCAGATGCCCACCACCCTGCTCGTGCATTTTCACCCCCTGGGGCTAAGGATCCCCTCCTGAACTCCAACAGGCTTCACTGGCCTTGGTTGAGGAGGGTGGAAACTGCGCCAGTACCCACTTGGAGCCTGCAAAGCTCGGCCCCAGGTCAGGTCCCCGAGGACAATGATGACAGCATCGGTGCTGGGGCAGTTGGGCTGCAAAACACTCAGTTCTCATCCATCAGTGATCGGGGTGTGAAGCAGTGCAGCCCCTGGGGGGGCATTTGGCAGTTTCCAACTGTAGACACATTCATCCTCTGCCCCTGCAACCTCACCTGTGGGAAACTGCCCAACAGGCACACCTGTAAGTGCATGAGGTGCTCTGTGCATGAGCGGGCTGTTCCGTGGAGCAGCCTGGAACCCTCCCATCAGCCGGGCACTCGGGGACACCCACAGTTACATATGGGCACGGCGCCTGTGCGGCAGTGAGGATGGGCTCTAGGTACTGCGATATTTGAGTTTTGAACCTTGGAAATATTTTATATTTTTACTTAAAAAATTAAACCAGGAAGGAGAAAAAGTCCCTAAACAGAGTGAAACAATCTAATTCCAGGTGTCTGTTGCTGCATAACAAATCACTCCAACATTTAGTGGCTGGAAACGGCAGTGGTCATCATGTTACTGACTGGTGGTTCTGGGTTGGCTGGGCTCGGCTGGGTGGTTCTCAGGGCCTCCCCCTCCCACCCCGGGCACAGGCGGGTGGGGAAGGTTTGGGTCCTGAGGCTCCTCTGGCGTGTCTCCAGCTGGGTGGCTTCAGTGTGGCAGCCCGTAGCTCCAAAGGTACGTGTCCCAAGAGGAGCTGGCTGCTCTCTGGGATCTAACTTCAGAAGTCACACTGTGTGCCTTCCACCGTCCTGAGTGGGGGCTGCCCCAGAGGCCCACCCATGCTCCTGGGGAGGGGCGAAGACACCTCCCGTGACAGGAGTGGCGAGATTCCAGAAGTGTGTGAGGGACTGGAAATATTGCAACTGTTACGGAAAATACCACGTGCCACAAAACTAGATCAAATCGGTGAGCAAAGGGCTTCCACTGCTCTTAATAACCGGCTGCTCTGTTGTGCCTCTTTCCTGGGATACATCCCAAGGCCAGACGTGCAGAGACGTCCACTTAATTCAGCTGTTTTGTTGTTTGCAGTGATATTGGCTTTGTTATCTTTAAGCTCTGTTGTGGGACAAAGCAAATTGAGTACATTGATGTCAGATGCAGATTTTAATGTAAGAGAAAAAATACAAGCATAAAATCAAGGAGGGAAAGTCACTGCACTGCTAAATAACGACAGAAAAAACAACACAAACTAACGCTTGATTTTTAAACAATAGGTATTTCCTGGCTGTGTAGACGGAGGGGGACGAGCCTCATTGCCGTGAGCACCCCAGAGCCAGAACCGAGGCACCCTCTCCTTGGAGAAGCGGCCCTTCCAGGTCTGGAGCGAGAGCACAAGGAGACTTTGAGTCATCTGGTGCCCCAGAAGGGAAGCTCTGAGACTAACGAGTCATGTCAGAAGGACAGAGGGACAGACTAGTGACAGAGCCGGATGGATCTCAGTGACATTGTGCCGAGTGGAAAAGCCAGCCTCGGAGGGTCGTGTGGTGCATGAGTCCATTTAGATGGCATTCCCAGGGCACCAAAACTATAGGGGTGGAGAGTGGATCAGGGGTGCCAGGGGTTAGGGGTGGGGGCTAGCGAGAAAGGACAGCAGGAGGGGTCCTTGTGGAAGGGGGTGCAGCTCTGGGCCTTGGCTGCGGAGGTGCTATCTGGGTGGGGCCAGAGACTCCATGTTCCCTCCCATCTCCCAGGTGGCGACTGAGCCGCTGGCCGGGCCCCTTGAGGAGCAAGGCAGTCCATCTCACTTCCTGTGGCATGCAGCCCCGGGCACAGGGGCACAGGCAGGGAGGCCGCCCAGCAGCAAGCAGGTCCTCCAGAAGGCAGGGCACTCCACAGGGCCCCGAGCTAGGTCTGCAAGGAGGCCCTGTGGAGGCCGCGGTTGTGGGTGGAGACTTGAGAAGCGGCCACCATGCACAGCCTCCAAGCCTCAATTGAACAACCAGCCACAGGCCTTAGGGAAAATGTGCGTCGGGACTGGGTCTGGTGTGATAGTAAGGAATTTTGATTAATTTTGTTAGTGTGATCATGGCACTTGTGTCCACAAATGTCCTTTATAGGGGACAAAGTGGCTTGAGGCCCTTACTCAGTGTTATTCAGCCAGGAAAGCTGCTGAAGCAGATTGTGCAGTGCTTGCTGTGTTGGGTGCGTAGCTAGGTCACCTCAACACCATTCGGGGTTCCTGACCAAATGTTCTTCGTCACATGCCACCAGGAAGTGCTCTTGTCTTTAGTGCAGGACGCGGGCCCTGCCCTGCCTGGACACTTGGAGAGCCGGAGTGCCTGGGCTGGTGGTCTGGGGGGCCAGGCTGTGGCCTATGGCTTTGTGTCCTCAGGAGGGTCCCTCTGGCACCCTTACAGGTCTTCACCATCCCACCCTGCACTCTGTCTTTGTGCAGTGGATCCTTTTGGAACAAGATAGGGTGGGAAATGTTTTAACTTGTATGATATTAATTTGTGAGAAGTGTGTACATGAAACCTCTTCCAGCTTAAGGAGCCGGATTTGTCTTCCCACTGCTCCCCAAAGAGAAGTCTTTGATGTTTTCATTATAAAAATAATCAGATTCACTATTTAAAAATCAAATCATGCAGAAAATGATCCGTGTAAAGTAGAGACTGTGTCCCAGGAAGGCCCTCTCAGAGAGCCTCTAAGAGCCTGGGGACTGCCTCCCAGACCCCTTCCTTCTCAGTGGGTGAGGATTCCAGATACCCTGTGTCATGCATCCCTCTCTGTTGCACAGGACATGCTGTGGATGTTTCCTGATGTCAATACATGAGAGATCTGCTTCATCATTCCTGTCTCCATGTGTCCGTTTTCTTAGTGCCCCATAATCTGGGTGCCACTGCCCTGTGGACAGATGTGGGGGTGCTTCTGAGGCTCAGGGCCCCCTCCTCCTGCTAGCTCCTGGGGCTTAATTCAGCACGCAGCGCCCCTGAGGGCGATGGGTAGGCTCTGCTCCCAGGCCACGTTGTGGTTGGCCATTCCTGAGCCGTGGGCTAGGGTCAGTCTCTGCTTCCTCTTGGGGGATGCCACCAGACCCAGGCATCGCCTTCATTCAGTGGCACCAAGGTGAGGCACAGCTCTCCAGGGGGGAAGGACTGTCCTGAATTCATTCTGGGGGGAGCAGCCGCCAGATCTGGGCTACGGAGGAGCAGAAACTGAGGTCAGGGTGGCCCCTGGAGGGAACCCTGAGGTCTTCATGGCCCCAGGCAGTGGATGACCTGCAAAGGGGGCTGTGGACAGGTGGACAGGCGCGCACGAGCTCAGAGCTGGTGGAGGTAGAGTTAGGACCCTGGGAAGTGGATCTGCACACGGTGGCCAGGGACCTTGGGGGCACATCTCCAGAGTTCTGACCCCAGTGCTTCTCAGCCCTGCCTGAACTTAGCATCATCTGGGGACTTTGAAACAAACCAAAGCCCACCCCACCTGCCCCCAAGCTGAGTTCCTGGGTGGGCAGTGGGGAGCCACAGGAGGATGTCGAGCAGCAGAGTGGCATGCTTGGTGCTCCCTGGCATGCTGGTGGACAGCGTGGAGGAAGACGCAGGGCACCCAGAACGGGAGGACTGGCTGTGACCTCAAGGGCAGGGGGCCTCAGCGTGGAAGCAGAGCCCTTCCTGCTAAGAAGGAGCCTGGCCAGCTGAGCCCAGCTGCTGGTGCTTCTGCTGGCAGGAGGGGATCAGAAAGGACTGTCCACGGAGTGGCTAAGATACGCCAGTACCACACTCTGGTGTCAGGAAAGCTTGGGTGTCTGGCTAAGGGCCCCAGACAGAGGCAAAGAGGCATTTAGAACAAAAGCATCCCGAGGGCCCAGATGGCTTGTTCCCGCCTCCCAGGGCATGTGGAATGGAAACCACTGAGAGCCTGTGGCCTGGGTGGGGTGGCAGCTTCAGACGCAAGGCCTCAGAAGCTGGGAGCCACTTTCTGAAGCTGATGGGAAAGCCCAGTGTCCTGGGGCAGCCAGGGGGTGAGTGTCTGGCCCTTGGTGAGCCTGGAGGGAGGGTGAGGGCAGATCCCAGAGCAGGAGGTGGTCGGTAGGGGCCCCACAGCACTGGGCCAGGCTCCTCAGCTCCAACAGTACACGGGCTCCTGGGGCGGCCACCTGCTGGGACCAGCTCTGGAGAGAGAGGCCACCATGGGGAAGCTACCCGGTTTTCCAGGACAGATGTCCTGGCTTGAATCATGTACCCCATACACACAAATCATGTGCCCAGAACACCACCCTTTCACCTTATTTGGATATAGGGTCTGTGCAGATAATATTAGGTAAGATGAGGCCACCCTGAAATAGGGTGGGACCTAAATCCGACATGACTGGTGTCTTTATAAGAAGAGAGACACAGGGAGATAGGGCCTTATGAGGACAGAGACAGAGACAGAGGGATGCGGCCACAAGCCCAGGATGCCTGGAACCACGTAAGTGCAAGAGGCAGGAAGGACCCTCCCCTAGCCTCGGGAGAGAGCGTGGTCCTGTGACGGGAATTTCAGGCTCCTCCAGTGCAGAACTGGGAGAGGATCAAGGAACATTGTCTCAGCTGCCCAGGTCACAGTGAGTGCTCTGTGGCAGCCCCAGGAAATCACAGAGACATTGACATTTTATGCCTTATTTAAACAAACCCATTCGTAGCTGTAACGGGGACAGTGCAGGCAGGCAGGTGGGGAATGTTGCCTGATCTCATGGTAGACGTGAATTTGGACACTACAGTTTCCAAAGAGCCACCCACATGAGGCCCACCACAAATCATCCCATTTGTGCTGGGGGATCTGACCCAACATCTAAAAAGATGCCAGACCCAGGTTGGGTGCTTAGGATGGCAATTGGTGTCACTGTGACCTGATAGCCCTCCCGTCACTCCCACTTGGCAGGTGAGGACACTGAGTGCAGCCTGCCCCCGGCAGTACTGGCTCACCACCCCACCAAATTTCCACCATGCAAATGTGTGCCTGGGACACCTGCCCAGGCTCAACACCCAGTGGGGCTCCCAGGTGCTGTCTTTAGGGACTTGAGCTGCCCTGAGCTATTCACATAGGTCCTGGGATGCACTGTGCCGCTCACCTCCCAGCCTCAGCGCATGCTCTTGACCTGAAATGTCAAGCCCACCCAGGCTCTCCCTGCAGGCCCAGTTATGAGTTCTTGGGTATCAGCAAGCACCACTTCCTCCTGGAAGCCTGCCTGACATTCCCCCTCCTAGTGGTGGGGCCAGTGGGTGGGGGTGGGTGGGCAGGAGGTGGGGAGAGACGTGCATGTAATCAATGAACATGCACTAAGAAGGCTGGCAGTGGGTGCTTTAATGGAAATAAGGCAGGTGGAGGTGGCAGCGGCCTGGAGGAGTTCAAGGAAGGCTTCTCAGAGGAAGTGACTGACCAGCTGGACCTAAATGAAACAGGAGCTGACAAGGGAAATGTGGATGGAGAGGACTTTGATGTCATTCACAACTCCACAAAGGATCCTTCTTCCATACCCGTAAGAGACCAAAGCTCTTGTGTGTGATGGACGGTGGGCAGCATCTGGGCCACGAGCAGACCCAGCAGTTAGCCCTCTGGCCCCTCAAAGGGTCAGCCTGGATCAGCCCCAGGCTGGGCATGCAGGCCTCATGGCAGCTGCTCCGAGTCATCCTGAGCCCTGGGCCTCCGGGGGGCCAGATGTCACCCGGGCATGATGCAGGCTGAGCTCCCAGGAAGACTTCCGAGAGCCTTGGGGAACAGGGGCTGCAGGACAGGCCTAGCTCCAGCTCTAAGAACCACCCCGACTCTGCCCGCCCACACCCAGGTCCTCAGGCACTAGCCACTGTAGTGATCAGAGCAGCTGGCACTTGTACCAGGCTGGCCATCGCCCAGACGTCCACAGCCCCCACAGCCCTAGGATGCAGGGACTGCAGGTGCCCCAGTTTACAGACAGAAGACACAGGCTCTTCCAGGAATGCCAGCTGGAAGTGGGTAGAGCAGGGGTTTGGCCCCAGGGGTCTGACCCAGGAATACTTGCCCTTTTACTGCTCTCCACAGCCCAGCCCACTGACCAGGACAATGGTGGTGTCCTTAGTGTGTTGGGGGCTGAATAGGTTCAACCCGAACTCCTGGTACCTGCGCTCTTGACATTTGGAAACTGTTGTCATTGTACATGTAATCAAGAGGAGGCCCTTAGGGTGGCCCTAGTGCAGTGACTGGGGTGTCCTCACAAAAGGACACACAGGGAGGGCCATGTGAAGATGGAAGCAAAACACGGAGGGGGGCCGGGAGCCCCAGAAGCGGAAGGAAGCAGGAAGGAGCTTCCTGGAGCCTCCGGAGGGGGCATGGCCCTGCCGACACTTTCATTTCTGCCTCATCTCCTCCAGAACTTGGAGAGAATGCATTTCTGTTGTGTCTTTTATGTTCTCTGTTGGTGGTACTTTCTCAACACCATTACAAGTAGAAAGGCTTTAGGCAGACGCCACCCACCTTCCCACCTCACTGAAGTGACCTCAGGGGAAGGCCACACCCCCAGAGCAGGTCTACCTCCACTAGACTTGCCCCCTGGGGCCACTTGCCCTACCACCACTGGTCTGGGGCCCTTTGGGGGCTCCACCAGCTGTGTGCCACCTGCACCAACCCCCAACATCCTGGCAGGGCCAGATACAGTGACTTCAGTGGATCGGACACCCCATTAAATAGAGGCCTCCAGATCTGAAACCGCTAGGGTTCTTTTGTAGTTTATGCATCCCATTCCCTCCCACCCCTCACTCCAAAAGCAAAGCAAGGTCCTTACAGAAAAGTAAGAAAATACAAGCAAGGCAAATAGGAATCGTAGCCACCCTCTCCCAGCACAGAAACACTGTGCAGGCTGAGCTCATCTGTGTGGGTCATACCTGGCCACCTGCTGGCCACCTCTTGGTTTGTAACCAACCGTATGTCCCTAGCAGCCCCCAAACCCTGGGGCTTCAGATGGTTTCGAACTTAACCCCCACCCTGAACCACCACAAAACAACTTGCTAAAAATTTGTTAGAAACGTCGTGGGTAAAATTGCAGTATTTCCAAAATCTTTCTTCCGGCCTTAGCACATCTCCCTATCAATAGGTGTTTCCAAGGAGTGGCAAGAAGCCATCTCGGTATCAACAGGGCGAGGGCGGGCTTATCCGGACCGGAGAGGTCGGGTGGGGCCTCTTCTGGGGCGGGGTGGCGACAGACACGGGGGAGAGGTGGGTTCTCTCACTTTATTTCTCCCTTTGATTTTGGTTTCAGAGGTATTTTGCCCCGGGATTTTTCCCCCCGGAGTTACTTAGAAACGTACAAAATCAACTGCACCTAGAGAAAGTTTCTTAACAAATGTATACAAATAATTAAAGACCCCAGCTGCCGGTAGAGTCGTGGAAATGAAGGGCCTCCGAGCCCCGCCTTGGGGAAATGGTTTTCCAACCAAACTGTCATCCCAAGCAAGCTGCCGGTCCGGTGCTTTCCGGTGAACTGCGCTGTGGGCGGCCGGGCCGGCGCCCCGCGGGCCTCCCCGCAGGGCCCAGGACCTGCTCTTCCTCCCGGCCGCGGGTCTGTGCAGGCGCGAGCCAGGGCGCGGGGAGCCAGGGGTGACGGGGTCGCGGGAAGTCGGCGGGCCGAGCGCGCGTTCCTGGGGCGCAGCTGAATTGGAGGCGCAGGGCGGTCGGCGGGTAGTGGGGCCAGGGGCTCCCTCCACGTGGCCTCCGGGTGCCCCCACCGCCGCTCAGGAGGTGGAAAGAGCGCGGGCGCGCGCTGCTGCAGACGTCACTTTCCTTATTTACATACGGCCTGCGGGTCTGAGCGCGGCACTGCTAGGCGCGCCCTCCGCAG